GGTTGGGAGAACGCCATATCCCGAGTTCCTTGGATAAAGTAAAGGATGAGAATGTAATAAATCTACCGTTGCCTCTTGCTTGCTCTTACCATCCTGGGTTACCCGAGTACTGCTACGTGATTTGTGAGAGTAGAGTTTCAAAGGTGAAAATTCTGATATAGGAAGAGCAGTGATCTGAATTCTTGGGTGGGCAATTCAGTCTTTCTTGGGGACAGGGTATTATGTCTGAGAGGAGAATGGAATTGGATCTTTGGAGAAACGGCTTCTCATGTCCTCTGCCCCTCATACCCTGTGTGCATTTCCAGGTGACACAGGAGAGATCAAATCGGAAGTGCGAGAGCAGATCAATGCCAAGGTAGCTGAGTGGCGAGAGGAGGGCAAGGCTGAAGTGATCCCAGGGGTGAGTTCTGCATTATGCTTTCTGTGCCACCTTTTTTCCCCTACACTGCTTTTGTTTGAAGGGTTGGAGAAGGATAACTCTTCTTTTCTCCCATCCAACATCTGCTCTTCTCCTTTCTTCCAGGTTCTTTTCATTGACGAAGTCCATATGTTGGACATTGAGTGCTTCTCCTTCCTCAACCGAGCCCTGGAGAGTGACATGGCGCCTGTCCTCATCATGGCTACCAACCGAGGCATCACCAGGTTGGTAGGGAATTGCTATGGGGCAGGGTTGGGCTTGGTATCTCCGGGCACTTAAACATAAAGGACTTGTGGTGCTGATGGTTGCATTTGAGAGAAATGGAGGAACATTCTGTGCCATGGTCACCCTGATTCTGTGACTTGTAAACTTACACAGCTCTGTACATTCTTTCGCTCGTGCTTGAGAGCGTGTCTGCCTCAAGGCAGAATAAGCTGTTCCGTGACACCAGTGTGTTTCACCTCCCTATTGAAAAAATCACCTTATATTCTGGCAAGTGATGTGACCTGCATTACAGATAAGCTTTTCCACATTGCAGCGGAGGAGGGAAGGGAGTATGTTGGTAGACAAGGACCCAGTTGGGAAGATGGTTGTAGTGTGAGCATAACGTATCACAACATCCTTCAACATGGTACCATTAAGTGGCTGTGTTGGTTGGGTGTGATGGGAGTTGGAGTCCAATGCAGCTAGAGAGCAGTAGGCTTGGGAAGGCTTTATGAGATACAAAAAGAATTAGGGCATCATGATGTTGTTAAGTGTTAATGACAAAATCACAGGAGGACTGAAGTTCTCTCTCCTTGCTTCCTCTTTCAATACAGGATTCGTGGCACTAACTACCAGAGTCCCCACGGTATCCCCATTGATTTGCTGGATCGCATGCTCATCATCTCAACCTCCCCATACAGTGACAAGGAGACCAAGCAGATCCTCAAAATCCGGTGAGGAGCTAAGGACTGCAGCCCTTTTATCTAGGGTGCTTCGCCGTTCTCTTGCGCTCCCCTTCCCATCACAATGGCGTGCTTCGTTTATTCCTTGTTCTTTGAGGTTCCGAGAAGGAGCTCTGTCTTCTGAGTGCTGTCCTATTTATCTTGCAGGTGTGAGGAGGAAGATGTTGAGATGAATGAAGATGCCTACACAGTTCTCACCCGCATTGGCTTGGAGACCTCCTTGCGGTATGCCATCCAGCTCATCACAGCAGCCAACCTTGTGTGTCGCAAGAGGAAGGTGAGCCTGGAGTAGCCCTTTAAGTGTCCTCATAGGAGGAAGACGACTTAAAACAAATGCAACAACCAAGATCCTTACAACATGTTAAAGACAAGTTTAGTTTGTCATGAGCTTTCCTGAACTGTAACCCACTTCTCTGGATACAAGTGGACTACAGTATATGAAAACATCTGCCAGATGAAGCCTTCTAGACTTTAGGTGTCCCAAGTCTTCTTATTGTTTGGCTTCAACAGACTAAAACAGTTACCTCTGGAATTGCAACAGCTGGATTAAATTTCAACCTCTGATCATATTAAAGCAATCCATGCTGCTGCTGCTTCCATTCTGCATCTTACTTGCAATTTCCAAGAACCTTTCATTTGGGTCCTGTGTATGCATGCCAGGAACTCCCATCTCCTCTAGAACTTAAATCTGATCAGGACTTGGGGTGGGTTAGAAATTACACTTGTGTTTGCTCTTAAATAAGAATGGGAGGGACACTTTAGCGTTGTGTTTGGAGGCTTGAGACATTGGGCACATTGGTATGACACAGTGGGAACCAAACAGGCAGGACCTTGCTAGGAAAATCAAGGCCCCTATGTTCTTGGAAGAGAGTAGCTGAGGGACACAATGCAGGGAAGCTTTGGGAGCTAGAAGTCCTCACTTCTGATTTCCAGGCCTAGCCAGAGGTTGCTGCCTTGTATGCTGAATTTCACTTACCTTGTGGAGTTTTTTGTGAAGTTCTTCATCTGCCTCTTCCAGAGGGAGCACTGACCTTTTCCTTTCTCCTCCACAGGGCACAGAAGTCCAAGTAGATGATATCAAGCGTGTGTATTCACTGTTCCTGGATGAGTCGCGCTCTACTCAGTACATGAAAGAGTATCAGGATGCCTTCATGTTCAATGAACTCAGTGAGTAATGGTGTAACTGTGGCTGGGGGCTGTGAAGGATCACTGAAGATCTCCAAAGGCCAGGGTCAGTTCTCTCTAGGACCAACCTGCCCATTCTTTCTTCTGCTTTTGAAGCAAAGTAAGATTTTGCCTGCCAAGAATTCAGAAGGTTCTTGCCAAAAGGGAGGGCTCCGATTTAAGGCCACGGCTGGCTTCTCATCAACAAAGCTATAGAGTTTTTAGTTTAAGGTGATGCTGTGAATGCTTTTGGTCTGTGTGCACCATCACCATGGGGGACTGAATCCACACTCAGTGTGGTGCTTTTGCCAAAAATTGGGGTCCTGTTTCTCCAACCCCGTGTTTGGCCATATTTTTGTCCTTCCTACACGAGTTGAAGCAGCTAGAGATATGGAGCTACTCTGAATCCACACTCAATGTGGTGCTTTTGCCAAAAATTCGGGTCCTGTTTCTCCCACCCCCAATGTTTGGCCACATTTTTGTCCTTCCTACATGAGTTGAAGCAGCTAGAGATATGGAGCTACATGGGGAGACCCCTCACAGTGTAAGTTTGTGGAGGTTTTTACAGTGATTGTAAAACCCAAATGGAATCTGGCACATTCTTCTGAATGTCATGAATCTTGGAACCCCCAGAGGGAATTTTTGGGGATTAGGCCGCAGTAGTCCAGAAGCCAGTGATTGCTCCTCAGAGGGCCAGAATTACAACATGTGGAGTGGGAGTTCTCCTTTTTCAGATGGAATCTTTTTCTCAGTGGAGTTTTGGCCACAAGCAATCTGTGGTCCATGTTTCACATTCCTGTTCTAGATGTTCCTAAACTGTTGCGGTAAGGGAAATTGTGATGTGTGAGTGGAATAAAAACAAAGGAGGTACAGTGGACCCTTGACTTACAGACGGCTTGACTTACAGACTTTTTGAGTTACAGACTTCTCTGGCCGCAAAATTTAGGTTTGACTTGCAGCCTGAGAATTGACTTACAGACCAGAAAAAAACCAAAATGGAACAAAAACGGCCTGTTACGGGATTAATTGGTTTTCAATGCACTGTAGGTCAATGGAGACTTGACCTACAGACTTTTTGACCTGCAGCCACCGTTCCAATACGGATTAATTCCGTAAGTCAAGGGTCCACTGTAAAAGTGTGTGGTAACCCCATCTTCTCAAATGGGAATAAACTATGCATTTTAAATGTTATTTATTATTGAAAGGTTGTTCTTTTTTTGTAGAATTCAGCTTTGAGTGTGCAGTAACCCCATCTTCTCAAATGGGAATAAACTATGCATTTTAAATGTTATTTATTATTGAAAGGTTGTTCTTTTTTTGTAGAATTCAGCTTTGTTGGGTGGGCCTAATAAAACTAAAATTTGAGAAATGGTTGCAACTTGTAAGAGTGTTGTGGAAGGGACAGAAACCAATAATAGCTAAATTCTCCTTAAAATGAACAGCTGTAAGGCCTCTTAAAACTATGTTTTCAGCTTTTTTTTCAGGTGGGCTAGAAATTATGTCTTTTTTAAATATGGAAGCTGATTTTACCTGAGCTTGTTGCAGAACTGTACAATGTCCAAGTTTCCAGTCTTCCGCCTGGAGCAAACTTTATGAGGGCTTTTAAATAAAAATAAGTGGTTGTGCAATGTGACAGACCAGGGACACTCATTTGAGGAGGAAGTGTTAGCTTCTAAGCATTTACCAGGATGGTGGGCCAGTCTCTGTAGGGAGTTTGCTTTGGGATGATCCGATAGTGATAGATCATCATAGAGCTTGCCGGAGAGATTACAAGACACTCCCTAACATTCATTCAGAGGGTAGAGCTTCAGGAGGTCACCTGGAATCCCCAGGGAGAAGGGAAGAATGTCCCATTGTTTTTCCGTTTTGAAGTCTCACTTGGGTGTTTTGGTTTGTTTTGTTTTCCAGAGGGAGAAACAATGGATACATCATGAGGGCTCTTGGATATCCTGCCTGTTTGTGTGTGAAAGAATGGCTGTTCTTTTATTATAGTTATTTTTTGTAAAATAAACCTTTTGGAGAATTCCTGCTGTGTATAAGAGAAAGTACCTCCCCCAACTTGCTTTGCCCAGCCCAGTGAGGGCCTAGGCCTCAAGAGAGCTGCCTACTGGGGCCACTCCTCAAAACTTGATATCTCCTTCTAAGCAGTTGTTTTAGGAGCCTTATGTGGCACACAGCTTGGGCTCTGTTGAGGGGGGATTAGCCTCAGTGAACACACTTGTCAGTATTTCCCCTTCTCATTGTCCCTAGGTAAGTAAAATTAGGCTTTCAGGTTGTTAACTTACTGCTGCTGCTATTCTTTAAACTAGGACTGTGCTGTCCACTAAATCAGCATAACACAACATACAAAAATTCTGGGTCCAGAAATATGTTCCAAGTACCAAAACTATAACTCCCAGCTACAGACTTTCCCACAGAAGTTCCATTCCTTCTTACCACAGATTTCCTTCATTTCAGCAGTACGATTTTGTACAACAATCAGCAATTCATATCTACTGGAAATCATCCAGTAGTTTATCAGCAAATTTAGATCTGTCTTTCGTATTCCTGTTAAACAGTTAAAGCTGTTTTTCCTGAAGGAAAATAAGGATAAGAGAGGCTTGGTTGTATGAGGAGAAGACAACGGGGTGCATTCCAAACCTTTATTTCACAGGGAAGAGGGACTCCATTCTTTTTGCTTCACTTTTAAATAGCTTCAGAATAAGCTTAAGCCAACATTCCCCTTGACCAGCAGGAGGAGGTCACGCCTTCACACACATGCCTTCTACCACAATGGAGGTATATTTTAAAAAAGCTCCATCCAACACGTGTTGAGCAGGAAAGCCAGGGATGCTGATGCACTGTTGATCTGATGTCATCCTTCTGAAAACTGGCGATAAAGTGATTCCAATTTGGAGTCCGTGAAGTGAGGAACAAAGTGAATCTTGAGGATTTCAGAGAAACCCTCCTCCAGTGATGGTGCCACATATTTATTCCTGTCCAAGATAAATATGGGGGTTAAGTGATATTTCAAGAATGGATGCAGAAAATTACCCCAAACACACTATGTTCTTCAACAAAAATAGTATAATCACATACTCTTACTTGAGCATGTTACTGGATTTTCATGGGCCAAAAAAGAAAGGGATTATTTCATTTCTAGTTTGAAATAAATAATCTCACCTCTGCACAAACATGAGAAACAGTGATCAACTTGTTGCTAATTATGTGTTGGAATAAGAGATTCTGTTTGTTGCAGTACTGTTAATAAGTATATGTTGCATTTTAAATAGGTATGTGTGTGTTGGCCACTCCCGCAGAGTTATTGTGAATCATGTTCCTTCCCCAAGATACTCACTTGTAGCTGTTTAAGATTAAATCATGTTCCTTAAAAGCAGCCTATCCTTCCCAAGATACTCACTTGTAGCTGTTTAAGACAATATCATTAACAGGCACATGCCCCTTTTCTGTCATTTCCCGAAACTGAAAAGAAAAGAAAAGGTCTGTTAATACACTATGAATGCGTTAAAAAACACATCAACATTCTCTTCCATGACAGACTCGCTAAGTACGGAATGGAAGTGGACCATCCAAACTTCTAAGGCAACAAGTTTAAGACAGATGTTATATAATATAGAGTGACATGGTGGCACTGTGGGTTAAACCACTGAAGCCTCTGTGCTGCAAGGTCAGAAGACCTGCAGTTGTAAGATCGAATCCACGCAACAGAGTGAGCCCTGTCGCTTGTCCCAGCTCCTGCCAACCTAGCAGTTCGAAAGCATGCAAAATGCAAGTAGATAAATAGGTAGCACCTCAGTGGGAAGGTAAACAGCGTTCCGGGTCTAGTCACGGAGGATTGTCTGCGGACAAAACGCTAGCTCTATGGGTTGGAAATGGAGATGAGCACCGCCGCCTAGAGTCGGACACGACTGGACAAATTGTCAAGGGGAACCTTTACTTTTTTATATAATATAGAGAAGCTGTAGCAGTTGCTGCATGATGTTCTCGGCATGATAAATGGCATTCCAGAAGGATTTAATAGCTGGAATCCTACTGCGTAGTTACGCATGCATAATAGCTCTATGGGTTGGAAATGGAGATGAGCACCGCCGCCTAGAGTCGGACACGACTGGACAAATTGTCAAGGGGAACCTTTACTTTTTTATATAATATAGAGAAGCTGTAGCAGTTGCTGCATGATGTTCTCGGCATGATAAATGGCATTCCAGAAGGATTTAATAGCTGGAATCCTACTGCGTAGTTACGCATGCATAACTCGACATTATATTGAGAAACTGTAGCAGTCGCTGCATTATGTTCTCGGCATGATAAATGGCATTCTAGAAGGTTTTAATAGCTGAAATCCTACTGCGTAGTTACGCATGCATAACTCGACATTACTCATGTAGTACTTTCCATTACGCCAAGATGGAAATGCTATTCACAAAGCACTTCAGACACATTGTGTAATCAGTCACAACTGGCACATTTACATAGATATAAGACAAACAGAATGCCAGCCAATAAATACACAAGATGATGTGTGTTGTCAGTGATTGCTAGTACTGCAGCCATATAAGCACAGGCTTCACTTTCAATGCTGCACCACACTTTTAGGTGGAGGAGGGAAACTTGTGATCATCCAGGTGTTTCTCAGCTACAGTCCCATAACTATTGATCAGTTTGGCTGTGGCTGAGCTGAGCTGGGATCCAATACCATCTGAACCAGAGCTTCCCTTTTAAAGCCAAAAAAAAGGGGGGTGTCCTTCATTGCCTTTCACTGCTTGTATGTTTTTATGGAGGTCTCCATTTTACTAGAGTCTAGAGACAGATCCTCTGAGCTAGATAAGAACTGAAGAATTTACGGGTCTCGGCTTTTGTTGGGCCATAACTCCCATGCTCCCTCATCACTGGCTAAGGCTAATGAGACATGCAGCCCAAGATCATCTGCAGGGTTACCTCTTTTCTGAATGCTGAGCTAGAGTGATTCAGCTTTCCCCCTTAGCACTTCACAGTAATTTTTCAACTATCACACCTAAATAAAGACATGCTCAGTTACTCTACTGCTTCATTCAAGGCTGGGTGAAACGCAGCCTGCATATGGCCTCCCAGCGAAGAACCCTCTTGGCTTTGATCATCCCTCTTTTTTGAACTTGGACCCACATACCATCTGTGGGCCTGGCGGGAGGGATTTTACCCTGTTTTCACTTATGCAAATGTGGTGAAATTGCTCCTTGAAGGCTATGAGATGCTTTTCTAAATTAAAAAAAGGAAGAAAAGAGTGTGTGTGTGTGGGGGCATCCTGGTTTTCACAATCTGGTAGGTGTGCACACCTTCCTCTTGAATTTGTCCACCTCAGAATCTGCAGCAGGGCTTTACCATAAACTGCTCTTTATAACAACTCCAGAACAAAGAGGGTGTGTGTTGGTGCCCTGTCTTTACCCTCTTTAGAAAAATCAGAATATTCATTGACCACCCTACTGTTTGGCTTATGATAGGTCTCGTCAGCACTGAGAGAGAAATTTCTTTTTTCAATTTTGATGTATTTCCTAAAAATGAGGTGAGAGCAGAAGAATGTACAGGACGTAGGGGACTATGGGGTCCGCTAGGTGTTTTGTTTTCTTCTTTGGAGTAGGGAACCCAGAAAACCTTTCCAGCTTCCTACAGAGCTACTTACTCTATTGTTATGCTTGGCTTGTTCCAACGAAGCAGTAAAAAGGAAACAGCGGCAGGGAACGCCGGCTTCCTTGGCACACTCGATATACCTGCATGGGAGAAAAGGCAAAGTGTTATTTTTTCCAGAGAATCTGGCTCCCACTCCCTGGGAGCTCCCATCATCTGCTCACCTCTCTTGGGAGAAGGAGCCTCACCTTCGTCTTGATTCCAGGTCAGGGTTGGTGTTGTCCACCGCTACGCTCTTCCCTGCCTTTAGTGAGGCTTGGCACGACGCCACACACTTCTGCCATGAACCAAGGGTGTCCTGCGTGGAGTGGGAAAAGCAGATGATGAGAAGGAATGAGTCCTTGGAGAAGGTCTGGGAAAAAACTTTTGCCTTCCAAATGTTTTGGTGTACAACTATAACCAGTGATTCCCCACCTTGGGTCCCCAGATGTTGCTGGACTGCAACTCCCAGAAATCCTGGCCAGCCCAGCTAGTGGTGAAGGCTTTTGGGAGTTGCAGTGCAGCCCAGCACCATGGGGGGACACAAGGTGGGGAACCACTACTATAATCTATAATCTTAGAACTTCAGAGCTGGAAGGGACCCTGTCCAGTCTAGCCCCTGTCAAGGAGGCACAGCGGGTAATCAAACTCACAATCTCTGGCTCTGCAGCCTGACACTTAAATCACTGAGCTATCCAGCACAAAGAAGGTTAGGGAAGGTGTCCAAAACATCCCAAGGCCAATGGTTCAGCATTACAGCAGCCTTTTCCAACCAGCTCTCTCCAGATGTGCTTGGCTGTATCTCATGCCATTCCCAAGCAGCACAGCCAAATCATGTCCGACATATAGGAAGGGGGATGACACAGGAAAGGCTTCATTAAAAAAAGTGGGGAAGGTGACTGAGTTCTCTCCACTTACCCGGTTGACATAGTGGTAACCAACAGAGACCAGGTATTTTTTCAAAAAAGTAGTCTTGCCAGCTGGAAGAGGAGAGGAAAGGAAGATAATTTGTGTTAGAAGTTGGATGGAGAACCAGAGAAAACTAGTTTTCCAAAGGTCTGGGGATCCCAACGGACACCTATAGCACCCCAAGCCTTGCTAGAACAACAAATAAACAGGCAAATGTTCCTTTCATTAAACTACCCCCTCTTTGTAATTGCGATTTCCTCAAATGCCATCATGTGCTCCTTATGTTTTCTGGACTTGTTCACCTTTGGGCCCAATCACTCCTGGTAACCACTGCTGGAGTCACCGGAGAAAGGAAGGAGAGAAACAGCTTTAGTTGCTTCTGGCTGCTCTGACTCTGCTGGGAGACAGCACAATGGTCAGCAAGGGTCCTTCACTTCAAACAGCTACTCTAGCTGAAACCTCCAAGCCCAAGGACAGCTCCACTGTCTCGAACTTCATCTTTCCATTGTTGTAAGGACAACCAAAGGAGAAACAGACTTGAAGCAAGTGAAATAGTAAGTGATACTGCTTTTTGATTTTCTCAAAGGATGCAGAAACTTTTCATTTGAAATCAAGACCAAATCCAAATTGAAACTACTCCAGGGAAAGGACTCAGTTTTCATTCTGGTCTTGGCAGGACAAGACCGGAGAGAGAGTTAGCCCTTTACCTGTTGCTTGTTTCTTCCCAACTGACCATGAACAATTAAGCATGACATTTAGGAAATGGCAATAAATTATCCCATTAAAAGAGCACAGATCTGTTGGCTTTTCACTCACCAGCGGGGAAACCAACAGCCACTACCAATTCTGGGGAAGATGAAGTCAGGAGAGCATCTGGATGATCATAAAGCTGTGCCTTGGGATCCAGGGCCCGCTATGTTGGTAGAAAGAGATGGTGACAGTAAAGTTATAAAATAACTACTACTAATAGAAGCAGAGAATAATGGAGTTGGAAGGGGGCCTTTCTAAGGCCACTGAGTCAGTGCAGAACCCAATTCAAAGTAGATCTGACATATGCTTGTCTAATATTCTCTTGTGTGCCTCCAGTGTTAGAGAGATCATCACCTCCTCCTTAGGTTATTCAGTTGAAATCTGGCTTCCTGTAGCTTGAGCCCATTAATGTGTGTCCTGCATTGTGGGATGACCAAGAACAGATCCCACTCCTCCTCTATATGAATACCTTTCAAGTACTTGAAAATTGCTCTCCTATCTCCCCTCAGTCTTCTTTTCTCAAAGCTAAATATACCCAGTTCTTTCAGTTCTTTCCTCGCAGGGCTTGGTTTCCTGTCCCCTGATCATCCTTCTTGCCCTCCTCTGAAGTATAATGAAATAATAATACAGATTCGAGAAGTCAGGACTAAGGCAAAGTTACACTGAATCCTTGTTTATCTTCGCAGATTCAAGGAGAAAACAAGACAAACAAGAGTGTGCGCTGTACTAATATATGCATACTCTCACTAATATAGTACACAGTTGACTCTCAAGGCTGTTGTACAGATTACTGACGTGTATGGCACCTGATTGTGCTTTGGATATTCAGAAGGGAAATACCATTTTACAGCAGCCAAACTAGGAGACGGAGGAGTTATTCACCGGGTCAAAGCTGGGGAGCTCAAACGATGCCTTTTTCCAGCCCAGGAAATATTCCTCAGGGGTGTAATGGGGGAGGAGCCGGAGACTAGCCTGAGCACATCATTGCAACTTGCCCTTTGGGACAGAAACATCCTGGGGCCACTAACCAAGCACAGAGAATACCTGCAGTTTGCCTCTCACCCTGTTTATTTGGCATACTTTTGGCCCACATTTTCTAGGAGTTTGGAAGGCCCAGGAAAGTGAAGCGAATGAACGCAACGACTCCAGATAGAAGGGCAACATGAACTGTGGCTAGAAAGGAGGGACAAGACAGCCAAGCATGTCCTAACTCTTGGCTGCCGCCTGAGACTTCACTGCAATGTTCTCTGCAGCACGAGGAGTACAAATTCATTCCAAAAAGGCAGCAGAGATCCTCAGGCTGCTGAGTTCGAAATGCAAACCAAGCACCGCGCTTTGTCCAATAAAAGCGTTACATTTTGCACAGAAGGTATTTGATTGCCCTGTTTAAATGCCCAGGTAGGTTTCTGGCTGCAGAGCCAGAGGTTGGGAGCTCGATTCCCCCCACTGTGCTTCCTATGAGTAGGACCAACCTGTGTGGCCTTGGGTAAGAGGTACAGTCCCAGGGCGCCCCCAGAAGAAGGGAAGGGCAAGCCACTTCAGAGCATTCTCTAGCTGGAAAACCCTGAGAAGAGTTGCCATAAGTCAGAACTGACTTCACGGCAATTATTAGGACAGACTGGGGGTAACAGCTGATCACCCAGGATATCAGTAGTGCACATACATTACCTGGCAACTGACCACTGGCTGCTCTATACAGGCTGCCATGCTGATCAAGACACTGTATATAAACAAAAGCTGCATCCAGTGCTTTGGCCAGGAATAGCGTGATATCATCTGGCCTCCAGAAGGCCCAAGACTGGAATATCCAGAACCCCACCATCCAGAAACCCCCCTATGTCTGCTACACTAAGTGCCTGGTAATGTTGATTTTTTTAAGATTACAAATCCTAGAACTGCCTTGCCAGTGAGGCTGGTGGCACTGGGTTCCAAAAGAGGTAAGGTTCCCAAGCTTTGATTACAAAGCCTATTTATACAGCTTTTCTATGCTGGCTCAGTGGTTTAGGTATCTGGCTACGGAGCCAGAGGCTGGGAGTCTTGCTTCCCCACTGTGCCTCCTGGAAGTACAGCCAGCCTGGGTGGCCTTGGGCAAGCTGCACAATCTCAGGGCACCCCCAGAAGGGAAGAATGGCAATCCACTTCTGAGTCTTTTCTATCCGGAAAACCCTGAAAAGTTCACTCTGTCAAAACACGCTTAAACTTCCACCACCCTCCCACACTCCTGAAAATCTTAAAATGGGGGGAAAGAGAGTAAAAATTAAGCAGGCAACTCAGGGCACATCAATATTACTTGCCTAATTCACAGCAAAGAACACAATTTCGGCACTGTCATTTTTGCTGTAAAATTTCCTGAATTATTTCAATTCTACACTTCACATCTCCAAATTATTTGTGGGTTTTGAAGATGACAAAGGAGGGGAAATGTGGGAAATGAGAGAGTTCTGTGAGTTTTGTTGTAGTAGAGGTTTTAATATTCTGAATGTGGTAAAGAAAGATGGGACATAAATGCGCTTTAAAAAAAGAATGTTAAAAGTGGAAACCTGGTTTTAAAAAAGCAAAATCATGAAGGCTAGAAACTTTTTCCCCATGAGATTCCAAGGATGGTGCACAGCAGATTCAGTGTCTGTGCAGCAAACTACTGAATACACAGCACATAGAAGCCTACATGCACAAACCCTGTGTGAAAGCAATACACCGCATTTTAAAAAGAGCAATAGTAATGCTTCAGCCACCCTTCTTCACAGAGTTGATGGCAACTACAGTGAAAGATGGAGAAAGTGGATTCCAAACCAGATTCCATCCATCCAGGCTAGATTAGGAGTCGTAGTCCAAAGAACTAACTGTGGATCAAAGGCTGTCCAAATGATCACTTCTGTGGTCTGGATGGGAGGAGGAAAAAGATTAGGATTTGTTCCATACCAAACGGTCACTGCAAGAGAAATCCTTCTTCTTACGCCCAGGGGCCCAATTGGCTGGACGACCAGCTGCATCTTTAGAGAGAAAAGAGAGACAGGACAACCCTCATTGCTGGAAAACAAACAATCTGGTGATAGGCCACTGCCAACATTTAGAATTCAGCCTTAATACATTTCAGGATGCAGGAACATGTATGCCATGTTGCAGCTGCTATAAGAGGTATAGATGAGAACTCGATCTCATTCTTGCCATCAGAAGCCATATGACTAGGATGAGAAATAAAGACTCTACACCAGTGGTCCCCAACCTCGGGCCTCCTCTACGCCAGTAGTCCCCAACCTCGGGCCTTAGACCACAACTCCCAGAAGCCTTCACCACCACCTCTGCTGGCCAGGATTTCTGGGAGTTGAAGTCCAAGAACATCTGGAGGCCAATGGTTGGGGACCACTGCTCTACACAACTCATGCCCAGGCTTTCATCCTTTACTCACCTCCCACATAGACACTTTGTTGCAAAGATACTGATAAGCCACCATTTGCCTGGGGAGAAAAAGGGACAGGACAGAGGGAAGGAGAAGGTCAAGATACGCCGTGGGATGGACTTCTCTGGGTTTCTCGCCAGCCCTTCTTTTCTCCCTGCAACCCACGGGTACCTTCTCGCAGAGATGATCCCACATCCCAAGCACAGGTTTGCGGTAAATGCCAGAGCCGGTTGCCACCAAGACCTGTCGAGAAAAGAGAACAGGGGAATGACCCAGCAGGCTCTGCATGCCATTCTGGCTCATCTCAAACACAAAGAAGCACTCACTCATTCATTCATTCATTCATTCATACAAAGCAGCACTCACTCATTCATTCATGAATTTATACCCAACATTTCCTCAAAGATTTGTATTTCTGAACAAAGTTTGTGATCTCCACTGTATCTCCTGGCATCTGGCAATTCTAGTAATGGCCAGACGGGTGAAAGGGATAAATAAAGAAGAATCTGGACAAGATATAGTCAACTTGGCTTCCATGTTGCACTTTTTAAAATCAGTACTGCATGACTGGGATGCAGTAGATGTTTTTATTATGTAACTGTTATATTTAAATCCTATTCTTCCTTGTAGGAGCTTAAGATGGTGTACATGGGTCTCCTTCTCCCCATCTTTTCCTTAAAACAACCCTGTGAGGTAGGAATAGCAATGGAAGAGCAAAGAGCAGGATTACCTGAGAACAACGGGTTGCATCTAGAGGTGACTATAGTTAAGAGAAAGCTTATGGAAATCAGTGATTTCTAGGGAGGTACATGTGCTAATCTGTTGCAACTAAACCAGCAAAGAGTCTTGCAGAATCATAGAAAATAATGTGTTCTCCCTGCCATAAATTGTCATGGCTTCCCCACCATCACTTTATCAGATGCACACACCTGGCAGCTGAACTGCATCAGCAAGAAAACCAGGCAAGTCTTCTGGAGGAGGAAGTGGCACAATATAACCGGCATCTCCCAGAATGTGGAATGCTCTCCCTTGGGAGATTAGGTTGGACCCCCTCCCTTTTATTCTTCTGCCAAAAGCTTGAAGACCCACTTTTTCAGGCAGGCTTTTAAATTTCATTTTAATATGTAATTTTAAAGCAAGTTATTGGATGCTGGTTTTAGCTTTTTACCTTGTTAGTTTGTTTTTAAAGTTACTGCTTTTAATCACTTTTAGGTATTTGATTTGCTTTTTAATGTGCTATTTACTGTGCTTCAATGTTACTTGTTTTTATCTTGTGACCTGCCTTCAGTCCTTTTATAGGGGGAAAAGCCAGGTTACAAATAAGACCAATAGAATACAAATCTTTATGTTCTTTATAAGCAGTGTACTGCCGTTCCATGTTCTCATTTCCATTCCTGTCCTTCCGCTTTTCTTCTTCAGTCTTGCCGATATGTACGATTTCAAAAATTTGGGGACTTCATTTGAAATATATATAATTAAGACCCTTTTAAATGATGTGCCACGTCACACTTACGAGGCCTCTAGAGCACTCAGTATTTCACATGACTACCCTGGTTCTGCCACAGCCACCTAAGACAAGCACATCCTTCTGCTCTGTTCTTTGCTTTCCTCGCAAAGCATCCTTCAGGAGACATCCTGCCCACTGCCAGCTCACCTGCAGCGGGACGCCAAGCCGCTCAATCACAGCTTCCACTTTGGCTTTGAAAACTTCAGGTCTGAGCCGCCCACGGCCGATGCCCATCTGGTTGGTGAAGATCACAAGCTATCCACGGGGTGGGGAAAAGACGTGATGGAGGAAAGGAAAATAGCAATGAGGATTGTGGAGCAGTTGTTGTTTAGTCCTTAAGTCGTGTCCGGCTTGTCGTGACCCCATGGACCAGAGCATGCCAGGCCCTCCTGTTGGAAGCTGATTAGAATGAAATGGTACAGAATCAAACTAACTAGAGAGCTGGAAAAGACTCCGAGGGACATCTGGTCGAAGCCTCGGCCCACACAGGAATCCATCACCTTGATCTTTCCTGGCAGGTGGCCACTGAATCTCTATTTCAAAAAAGTCCAACCAAGGAGACCTTCCCCATCTTCTGAGGTAATCTACTGCTGAACAGTTGTTGCTGTAAAGCAGTTCCTCTTACGGTTTAGTTGGAACCACCCTTCCCATAATTTGAATTCATCCATTGAAGTCTACCCACTGGAGCAGCAGAAAATAAGCTTGTTCCAGCTGCCATATTAACAGCCCTTCAAAAATCTGAAGACATCTATTGTATCACCTCTCACTTTTCTCCTCTCCAGGCTAAAAACACACACATACCTTGTAACCCTCACTCTGAAGCTGCTTCAGCTTTCGTGGTACCTCAGGGTACAGGATCCTGAAGAAGAAAAAAAGAGAGATCCATTTCCAGTCACGGTTCCCCACAGGGACACTATTACTACCGCTAGTGTTAGCAGAAGCATGCAAAGCACAATGTGAAAATGACAGCACAAGCTCCTGCTTCAGACCCTTCTTCTCACACAGTGATCAGCCCAGGTTCTCATATTACGTTATTTTACCTCACACAGGTAGGAGCGACTTCCACCATTTTTATTTCTTACGTATTAATTTTTCACTCTGCCTTTCTTCCAAGGATCTTAGGATGGCGCACGTGGTTTACCTCCTCATTCCCTACAGTTTCACAACAATCCTGTGAGGCAGGCCAGGATAAGGCCCAAGATCACGTAATGGGCTTCAAGGTAAAATGAGGGCAGTCCTCTGGCCATTATCTTGCCTTCTAACCACCATACCATTAGCTATCTCCTGAATGAAGCACAGAATGTCCCATAAATTAATATTTTTGGGGTGGCTAACTTACTGTCAAGACAAACAAAATAAATGCAAAAATGTAAAAGATAATCGTTTAAAACATTAATGAAAATTTAGAAGTCTTCACAGCACCTTCAGTCCAGGCAGTTTACCATCAGGGCTAGTCAGGCTACCTAAGTTGGGAGACAGTTCGGGGTTTCAAGGTGGGTGGGTCCAGCACTGTGTTTTCTGCCCCCCTCCCATGATGGTGTTGATGTCTCCCAACTCTGCATCTCCTCCTGCCCGCTGCACGTGTAATGGCTGCTCCCCTGCAACATTCCCCCTTCCTTTGAAAACATGTCCCTCCTCGACAGACAAAAGACCTCACAACAGCAAAGTCAGGCAGGCGCAGGCTGCGTTAAGTAAATCCCCTCATCCTTCTCTCCCTCTAAAATAACAACTACTACAACAATAAACAAAAGCAAAATAACAATACAACAATGCCCTCCCCTCCATAAAAACACACTTCCCTCTCCATTTCATTCCAAAACAGGTAATAAAAGTCAAGGCAAAGAAGTCAGGGAAAGGGAAAAGAAAGTAAAGTAGTTGCTTCATTAGCCAGCAAGCAGAGTGGGGTCAGTCCTGAAGAGAAGGCCAGGTTCCCCCAGGCCGAAGTTCTGCAAGGGAAGTGGAGGGACACAGCCGCAGTTCCCTTGCCCCACATACTCCCCTGCCCTGGCAGATGACACACAGATCCCTCTTCTCCTCCACTCAGGAATGCTGACAGTGGTAGCCTCACACTAGCTCCAGCTTTTATATACTTTTATTATCATCCTTCCACTTTTTCTTTACCGAGTCCTGGACAGCACCACATCCTTTCCTCACAATCGCATGCATTACCCACGCAATAGTCATGCAAGGTCAAGGCAGCCGCGGACTCCACAGGGATTCTAACCAGGACTCCCGATTCACAGCTCAATTTCCACTCTCTCATGTTCACTGTCCACCAAGCCCTCCTCCCAGTGCCCCTTGGTCCTTGGCAGATAGCTCGCACGCTCACCTCCAGTCGTCAGGGCTGGTCGGAAACACTTTCCCTGACTGGGTCGTGATGATAGTTCCATCCAGATCAAAACCTGCCACCTGAGGAACAAGGCAGCAAAGGATCAAACCAAGGCCTAGCCTAGCATGAAGCATCGTCTCTGATTTCTACCATGCACCAAAACATGGTTGCTTCCATCTTTCCTGGTCAAACTCCACCACAAAGGTCCGTTCAACGCTACTGTGATAACTCTCAAGATTGAGAGTGCAAGTGCAGCAGCCGAACGCAGCTTTCTTCGGGGACTCTGCAATGCAGTTTGCACAAAGACCTTAGGAAATTGTTTTTAGGAAGCCATCTCTAAGTGAGTAAGTGTAGGAAGACGTGTTGGGATTCAGGGTGTCACCTTATCACTGCTGAGTTCTAGACAGCTTCCACAGGTCAGTACGTTTGTGAGGCTATAGGAGGAAACTGGGACTTGTAGTTATACAAAAGTGGAGTCTGCTAGGTTCTGTGTAAGATGAATTTAAAAGCAATGAAATGTTCTCCTGAGATGCTTGTGCAGGGTTGCTTTGCCCGGCACGAAGACAAGAAAGCAAGGCCGAAGAGGCCCAGGGGAAGACGAAACAGCATGCCGCTTAAGGGGGAGAAGATAAGCCCCCTGGGCTTGGGATCTTCTCATGTGGAATGTGGGCCATGAACTGTGTTACACCCACTTGGTCTTAATTGGTTAACAACTGAAAGGCGTAAGAAAAAAGGAGGTCTGGAGATGTGTAGAAAATGGTTGGTCATGTATGTAATGATGTTTGTGGTTGGTTTGTGAATGTCATGGAATGTGAGAGGTTTGTCTTGTGAAGGAGGCAAAATAGCCCAGGTTCTAGATGCTAACATGTAGAGAGAGCGCAAAAATGATTACTTAGCTTATTTTAGTCGTTTTTATTTTACTTGGAAATAGTAAGCTTATTTTAAACATTGTAACAGGTGGACGTGCCTAATGCCTAAGCCTATTTAATGCAACAACTGTACAGTGGTGCCTCGACTTACGGAATTAATCCGTATTGAAAGAGTGTCCGTACCTCGAAATTTTTGTAAGTCGAAGCACCATTCCCCATAGGAATGCATTGAAAAGCAATTAATCCGTTCCGGCCAAAGAAAAAAAATACCCTCCAAAAAATGACCGCCACCGCTGCCGTGACCGCTGCCGCTGTGGAAGACGCTCTGACCACAGCCGCTGTGGGAGGCCTCCCAGGCTTCCAAAGCTGTCCCCGCTGCCCTCTGCCTCCCATCCACGCTGCCTCCACCGCTGCAGGAGGCAGAGGGGATGGGAGGCAGAGGGCAGCGGGGACGGCTTTTAATTTCCCGCCTTTACCCCCTGCCTTTCGTAAGTCGAAGCTCTGGCCGCAATTTGAACCAAAATTTTGCAGCTGGAGCTTTTACCTTAACCCCTGCCTTTCTTAAGTCGAAGGTCTGGCCACAAGTCGAACCATAATTTTGCAGCTGGAGCTTTTCGTACCTCAAAATTTTCGTAAGTAGGGATGTTCGTAAGTCGAGGCCCCAGTGTATTCGAATAAAACTACTTTATTATCTTATTAAAAGCAAATATAATTCTTCAACAGAGGACTGGTCTCTTGAACAGCAGGGCTTACATCTAAATCCAGTGAGGATTTGAGAAGGTCAATACTGTAGTTGCTACTGTAAATTGAGAGGGCCTGGACAAAGAGAAAAAACACTGGAAACTCACTCTTCTATTCTGGTTGATACTTATATTTTATTCTTAGGAAGCATGCAGAAAACCTCACTCTAAACCGGGAATGGAAAACTTGTGACCCTCTGAATACTGTTAAACTACAATGCCCATCATGCCTGATCACTAGCTATGCTGGCTGTGACCGATGGGACCTGAAGTCCACATTGCATTGAGAAATACAGGCTCCCCCCTCTCTTTCCTGAATATGCCCTGAAGGAGTCCTAAAAGAAGCAGTGCCCTTTGATAACTCCACTCTCAGAGACATGAGGCTGTCGGGCTTACCTTGGTGCTAGGCACGACTCCTTTCCTGGTAAAGACCAGGAGCTTGCCATGGTCCTCCCAGGAGTCACAGAGCTGGGGGGCCACCTTAGAGAGAAGCTTCCGAGATGGCGGGAGGGCTTGCTCTGCCCGAGCTGCCGTCTCCTGCAGCTGCCTCAGTTTCTCAACCACAGATGGGTCGTCACCGTTGTCTTCTTCTCCTTCCTCATCCTCAGACGGGGAGGAGGTCTTGGTCCGCTTGACTGGTGGGGCCCTCCTGCCCTTTTCCTCCTCTTGCTTCAGAGGTCGCTTGGGACTGAAGAACTGCAGCAGGTTTTTCTTTGGGGAGGTGGCCTCTTGCTCAAACCGGATGCAGTAAGGATACAATCCATTCACTAAGCACAGAGTCTGCCCTTCCTGGAGGGTTGTGCTGTCTCCACGGTGCAGGTGTATCTCCTCCACGGATGTGGGGTTCACCCCTCGCTGCCAACACACCAAATACATTAGGACTTCCGCCCCACAGCCTAGAACAGATCTAGAACAAGGGTGAGGAACATCTTTTTGAGCCTAAGAGCTGAAATGGTTCTTGGGGCCTGCCTGCTATTGGTGCCAGGATGAAAGAGAACAAAACAAAACAAAACAAATCCCCACCAAACTGAGGCAGAAGTTCTTATTTCATAGCTAAACTTGAAGATAGAAATCTCAAACTTCTAAAATGAGAATAAACATTAATAACCCTGTGAACCTACCTACAAAACAATTGTGTCATGGAGAAAGGTGCACAGCTTCCTGTGGATCCCAGACTGGGCCAGATTTGGTCCTGGGATCTGGCAATTCAGGTATCCTACCCTTGACCTAGATAGGTTTGCCAGCAAGAGAAGCTACCTTTCCCACTTCAGCAAGGAGCCCCAACTTGAAGTATCATCGCACCTCACACAAACCCATAACACTGGACTTTTCACATTTTACCTGGGTGACTCGAACTGATCGGTAGGTATAATTTGCCAGCAACTCCACTGAAAGAGCACAGAAAGCAAGAACAGCACATGTTACATTCAGGAAAATACAGAACATCACTCTCAACGTGATTTAGACAGAATAAGACCATTTTTAACGCTACATAAAAAACCTCAAAACCTAGAAGCAATGTTGGTGATGGTTTGCTAATGTTTTTTTTTAAAGGAATGAGCATTTAGTGAGTGCATATTAGCAGCTGCCAGTGGAGAAGGAAAGTAGCAAGAGTACAGACTACAAGAGAAATGAAAACATCTATTTCTGTAGCCTGCTTCTCTTCCAAGGAGGTCAAAGCAGACAGTGATTTACCCCTTTACAATTCCTGATGTTAAGTACTGTATATAAATGTTTTTCAACCTTAAGTGGCCCCTTCTGTTTTTCCCTTTTTCATCTTTCTAAGTAATTCCCTCTCTCATTTCTCTTTTTTCACTGGGTGTTTCTATGTCTCTAAATATTCTGCCATCTTTCATGCCCTCTGAAACCATTTTGTACATCTGATTTATGTCCACTAGCTCTTTATGCACTTGATCTATCTTCAATAGATCTTCCAGGCTTTTTCTTGTTATTTTGCTAATTTTGTCCCCTTGTCCAGACCATTTTTAACGCTACATAAAAAAACCCCAAAACCTAGACGCGGTGTTGGTGATGTTTGCTTATTTTTTTAAAAAGGAATAATGAGTATTTAGTGAGTGCATATTAGCAGCTGCCAGTGTACAAGGAAAGTAGCAAGAGTACAGACTACAAGAGAAATGAAAACATCTATTTCTGTAGCCTGCTTCTCTTCCAAGGAGGTCAAAGCAGACAGTGATGCTATCAAGACAAGATTTTGCAAGATTTTTCTCAAAAGTCTTAATATAGAAATTGTATTCTTTGCTCTGAATTAGGTAAGTAATATAGATCTACCTTGGCCAAATCACGTAAAATTTAACTGAGTTTTCAACAGTATTTCGTCTAGCAGTTTCCTGGTATCACCATGTTTACATTTGAAAAGAGCAAAATAAATCACTCTATGATCACCAAAGATTATTTTGTTTTATTCAAATATATTACAATAGCCCCCATCTACACAGATATCTGAGTGATGAAGGAGTCACTGTTATTTGCAACTTTGAAAGCTAGAAAATTTTGAGTGATTGAAAAAAAAACATGATCAGGGAGAAAAACAGTGGCCAGCAGACTGCAAAACAACTCAGGATATTTATGGATGCAGTTTATACGGAATCAAAGCAAGCTGCCCCTAGCTGGAGGTCACATGTGTGTTTGTATGTACACTTACCTTGTGTCCGAGAACATTTCTTATCAGTAACACGTGTCTCAGGTCCCCTGCCCAGAACAACAGTCGTACCATCAGGCAGAAGGATTGGGTCATGACGCTTGTCTTGACTGATGAGAAAGCACGGCATGGTCCTATGCTAGTCTGTCAACAAAAAAGGAATGGTTTGGATTGCAAGCAGCCACAATGTCATACACCGACCGGCAAACAAAACTTCTTTCCTCAATTCTGGTGCCCGGGACTGTCTTCAATACACTGCACCCCATAACGTAAGGTGCTAGAATTGTCTCATTTTAAGGACGTTCAATCTCAACAGAAAGAGAGAGAAAAGAAATGAACCATGATGATGGAGGCTAAATCAGGGAAGTTTCACTGCAAGAGATCATGAACTACTTGGAGAGCAAGAGAAAGGAAAGATATGTTAGAAAAAATAGAAATAAGAAACAGCATATGGGAAAATATTTTCAACAAGAAATGACAGGAAAGAATAGCTGAACTCTGGATTCCACAGATATGAGCAACCCTATATTATCTGCTAGATATCATGCAATTAGAAAGCACAAATAAAGCAAACAATCACAACATCCATACTGGATGGGTATGCCTGTTTAAGAGATCACCTTCCTCATATACTAGAGAAGGAATATAAACGTTTCCCGAGTGCACTTAAAATCCGAAATAACCCCTCAAAAGTGTGCTATTAAATAGAGAAGCAGCAGCTCTACTTTGCATACCCTCCCATTTAATAAGCACGTGTCAGCAGTAAAAACAACGTGGGTTTAGATTTTTGAAGGGGTTCATCATGGCAATGAGAACGGGGGTGATACAGACTCCCCCCTCCTTCGCCAGTTACTGCACCCCCGTTAAGCAAATGAGAAGAGGAAGGCTTCCCTCCACGAGCACTGCGGATGGCGGTGTTACATTTTCATGTTCCCCCGGAAGTGAGCTTTGTGCACACCCACACAGTTCAAAAAGACTCGTCTAGTTCATTCAGACGTTAATGAACGGACCCGGATCCGTATGCGGAGAAGCGTAGAGACGGAAAAGTATAGCGGCTACCACCGGAGGAAATGAATAACCACTCTTGCTGCGATTCTTTATGGACGTAGAGTGGTGCTGCTCTCTCTCACTTTACACCTCTATGTTGAAATTAATCTATACGTGCACACTCAAAACTAGAGCTTTAGTGAGTTCCAAGGAACGACATTCCCGGGAGGTGTGTGTGCAAAATAAGACCAGATATCGGAAATTATCATTTTTCTGCCTAATTGTTGTCTTACCTGGAAAATCTGTGGTTTAACTTTAAAAAACCTCTGAATTTAAACCTCTGGCAAGAAACCTCCTCTACCGGTGAAATTACAGCTTGTTCCACCCACTGACCCACCCACCGTATTGCAGATTGGCGGAGACGGGCAAGACCGCTAGATCGTTGCAGTTAATCTTATCCTAAAAAAGTTATTCTTGTCACAATAAAAACTAAATACTAGATACAAGAATCTTCTCATTCCTCCTTCCATTATCCGGGTGGGAAAGCAGAGGCAAGGGATGAGCGATTTTGATAGCAAAGCTATGAATCACTTCTCTTGGAGTATCACTGCTAAGATTAACTCTACAAGGACCGTGTTACGCAGCATTTACTCAGGAGTAGGACCCACTGTCTTCGATGCCTAGGACTGCACTGTTACCCTATATTACTCCTATACCGTGTATAAGATTTAAGCCAGCCCAGGCAATATACTCCACTGACTCCAGTTCGAAGATGATGATGACTTAAGTGACCCTTACTCTTCAGGAAATGTCTCCGGAATGCAATCGCTTACCGTCTCAGAATACGTTCAAATCCTGCAAAAAGAAAAGTTATATCTCACCCCATCGGCAGCAGCTGGTTTGCAAAATAACTCACACCAAGCCCATTTTAGGTTGCAACAAAGATCACAGTGTATTGTCTCTCTAACCCCTTTCATTCAGCCCAAATTCGGCGCTCATTGGCCCGCGGTTCCAACTTCATGCTCTTTTAATTAGCCTGCAGACACGCCATTCTGAGTCAAACGGTACCAGCATTCAAAATCAGATCGGAAGCTGGTAAAAGTGGGATACAGTATTCCATAGGTTTGTTATAAGCATAGCACGTTGAGATAATGTTCCGTCGCTGCACAAGAGGTGAGAATCTGTTCCGGAAACCTCCGTTCCGTCTCGGTTTAAACGGTGGTGGGCGCGGTAAGTCTACAGACAAGGCAAGGAAAATTTACTCACTCACACGGAGGAAGGCAAGGAGGAATTTCCAGCATTGAGAAGAAACAATAAAACAGTCGATGATATCTTTTTAAGAGCCCAGTTAATTGAATGCATTAAAAACGTGGCATCGAACTGACCAATTCTCTATGTATATTTCAAGCTGCTGTAAAGTATAAAATTATAAATCACAAGAATAAATCAGCAGTTAGACATTAAACTGTGTAAATCCTTTCAACCAGGATTTGGAACGCGGGGCCTTCTAGATATTGCTGGACTTTAGCTTCCAGCAGACTCAACCAGTCAATGAACGGTGAGGTAATGGTGGGAATTGTTTTTCAGCCACAGGTTCTCCATTCTTGTCTTAAACAAGGTAAAAATGTCAGATGTGTCTTCTCCTCAAAAGATCAGCTGAATTGTAACACACAATAGTAGCCTGTTTCCCCAAAAATAATACAGGGTCTTATATTAATTTTTGCTCCAAAAACGCAGTAGGGCTTATTTTCAGGGGATATTTTATTTTTTTCCATGTACAACAATCTGCATTGATTCGAATACAGTCCTGTCATCATCTTCTGGTTGCTGCACAATAGTGGAGGGTGGGGTTTCACTCATCTAGAGCTTATTTTTGGGGTAGGGCTTATATTACAAGCATCCTGAAAAATCATACTAGGGCTTATTTTCAGGTTTTCGGGGAAACAGGGCAACAGCAGCAAGAAGAACCTTGAGTAGGTCAATAGCTTCCTGTTTCCTGAGACGTCAGGCAAAACCTGAATGGGAGGGAAAGCACTTGTGTTTACAAACAGTTGCAAAATAATGTATGTGTATGTGTGTGACAGAGTGAAGCAATGTAAACTCCCTGCCCTTCCTCCAAAATAAATATTATTTTGCACAATAGACCTACAGATGCATTTACGCACAGCCAGTGAAACCTGGCACCACCTGGGAACAGGGAGAAAACAGCTGCAATAGCTTTAACATCACCATATGCAATAGAATCAAACTTTATTCTCCTCTTGTGCTGGCAGTCTTCTCTCTGCATGGAAACTTAGGGAGGCACAACAATTTCCTGACTCTTTAGCCAGCACTTTTGAGATCTGGCAATCCTCACTATGATACTCAAGAGAGCAACAACTAGGAATGAAGAGCATGCAGGGGGAGGAGAACCAGCCCAAAATAAGTGTGCCTGCAGAGTGTTCCATCTTCTTTTGGCAGAAGTGAAAGGCTTGATGCTGCCCTGGCTTTCTTCCCATGTGAAAAAGACAAGTGGATGAGCAAGTGACTATGTCTTCTTCAGTGCTGACAAGAGGGCATCATCATCCCTTGCACAGGAAAGCTGTGAGCTGGCCTAGCAGGTACAAAGCGGGCCACATGGCACAGATCGGTTTTCCCTCCAACACTGCTCCTCCCTTGCTTTGTTCGAAGTGCACAGCTTGGAGGTTCCCTAGTCACAGACGAGCTATTTGCAATTGGTTCCTTTCCCAAAAGACTAAGATAGAGCTAAATTATATCGTAATTTTGACTTTAAAAGGGTTAATCTCACACCTTACAATTGATTTCCACTTGAGAATGTGAAACGGGAGAATGAGAATGTATCTGCAAAGGAGTGTTTTTGTGGCACCAACTCAGGGAAATAGGAACATGGGGGGGGGTTCAAATGGGAAGAGGGGCTACTGCTTCCCACCTCTACATTCATTGGTTGCAGCTCATTATATGTAATTGCAATATAGGTGCCTAGTCCTACACATTTCAGTTTCTAGCTCATAGACACCTAAAGTTATTTTCAAATAAAGGTCAGATCACTGATCCAGTATTTCCACTCGCTCTATTACTTTCACTTTCTCCATTGCATTATTTGCTTAAAAAATACATAATCAGATTACCCCTATTCCTGATGGAAACTGATCAGGAGGAGCTGCTTTAGAGCTTAAAGTGCTGGAAATGTGGCTTTTGTGGATCCCCACGCCTAACAGCAGGGTAGTCACATATAGATCAGGTCTCCTATTTCTCTAGCAATTGTTCAAGCAGGAGCACATGTTTTGGTGGGACTGTTTCCCCACACTGATTCCTGCTGCAGGAGGAACATGGTTTGGGCTTAGTGGGTTCACCAACTTGGCTTGGCCATCAGCCCAAACCATCTTCCTCCTGCAAGAAAGAAAGTCTTGATCTTGAGCGAATACCCATCAACCATGTGTAAGAGTGAAGAAGTAAGGTATACAAAGTGAGAACTGGGATCTACGCTGGCATCTATGAAACTGTATCCATTTTTCTCTAGTCAATTTCAGCTATTTCGTTCCATGATTGAGCAGTCTTCTCTTCTAATTGAGAGGCTAAAATTGTTGTTTTAACAACAGACGAAGAATCCACAGTTCTGACCCTTGAGAATGTTTGCTTCAAAACAATACAAGCTTTCAGAATTTGTTTTAAATTAACATTTTAATTCAGATTTATCAAATAAACTTAAAACAATCTAGTATGAAATATCAAAATCTATAAAACAACACTACAATTTCTGCCTCTTTATTTCCTATAATCTCAGAAACAGCAACAGTGTAGAAGTCCATAATGGAAAAAGGGGTGCTTTCTGCGCAAAGAAAGCTGCATTCTTTTTTAAAAAAAGAGATTGGACTCCTGTATGTTTGGATGTATAAGGGTTGGATTTAGACATAGTAATAATTAAAGGAGACTCACTGAAATCAGTGGGTCTTAAATTAGTTAAGATTAACACTCTTCCTTCATCAACAGTTTTCCTTCTTTGAGCATTCTTTGATTTTACAAATCAGAATAAACATAAAAATGTTCCCTTCTAAAACACCTAAAAATCATAGCCATAACCTTCCTTTTTTGAGGAAATTTTGTGTTACAATTACCTAATTTCAGTCTTTGTGCCAAAAATAAAACTCTAATAACAACTACTACTTTAGGGTCTATCTACACAGTCTCATTGCAGTGGGCTAAATAGGGTTGCTAGAAGTCGAGTCAAGGTCCAGTATGCCATTTAGTATAATCCTCACATCCAAATGGCACACACACCGCAACCAACCCTATTTGATCTGACTTTTCCTGTTTGACATTGTGAAGCTGCTTAAAAAGGCAGTCATTTCATGATATAAGGAAAGTAAACACTTCCTGTGCTTTTCCATGGAGGAACAGAGAAGTAAAAAATTATATATTACACTGTATTAGGTCAAAACTGATGTGCTGCATCACTTATAAAAAATAAAAGAAAAATTGAGATTTGTCCTGGAAACTACCTGCACGTAACTGAATCCACTGTTAGTTAGTTCTCAGTTGTGGATTCAGCGGCAGGCAGATCCTGGAAGAAATTTTCCATTTTTCTTTTATTGGCTGAATGTAAGCTGGCAAAAGGCTCACTGTTGGTTTGCCTCTAATGATGGCACATGCTGGAAATAAACCAAAATGGAATGATCTTATGTGCACCAGAAAAGTACAAGTAGGTATGCTCTGGGGACAGGCTGGTTTGACCTAGTAATTACGTTGTCTGATTTCCAGAAAAAAAGAGCAAACCAGTTCATCCCTGCAGCAGACCAAACAACAGGCTAAATACCCATCTGATCACAACCTTGCTCTGTTTAACACCCAAATCTTTGGGTGGCTGTGGAGGAGTCCTATTCTTACAGACATACACAAAAAAGTAAAACAAGTAGCCAGTAATTCCTGGCAACAGGAAATGTGCAATTCAATTGTACAATTAGTTGTGCAATTCTCATTGTGACCATTGCACAATGCATCTGCGGAAATGAAAGCATTTCCACCTTGCACAATTGCAGTTACCGCAGGAGTAACGTAAAGGTTCCCCTTGACATTTAGTCCAGTCATGTCCGACTCTAGGGCGCAATGCTCATCCCTGTTTCCAAGCCATAGAGCCAGTGTTTGTCCGAAGACAGTTTCCGTGGTCACTTGGCTAGCGTGACTACACACGGGACACTGTTACCTTCCCACCGAGGTGGTACCTATTTATCTACTTACATTTTTACATGCTTTTGAACTGCTAGGTTGGCAGGAGCTGGGACAAGCAACAGGCGCTCACTCCGTCGCAGGGATTTGATCTTATGACTGCTGGTCTTCTGACCTTGCAGCATAGAGGCTTCTGCGGTTTAACCCGCAGTGCCACCACATCAAGTATGAACACAGGAGTGAAACATTACAGTCATAATCCATTGTATTGCACTTCTGACATGACAAGGCTTCATTTTAAACTATCCATCTCACATTCATTCGCCCAGCAATCCTGTGAGGTAGATCATTCTTGTTCGGACTGCTGAAATGACTGGGGAAACAGAAATAAGTTGAACTCTGAACCACGACTTTCTCAGTCATCTCCTGGTTAGGGCCTCTCTTTGTCCCAAGCACAAGAAGTCCGGAATAGTCCAGCAGCAGCAGGAACTGGGGATTTAGAAACTAATCCTTTCGTTTACACAGCTTTTACAGGTTCCAAGTCTGTAAACAGAAAGTTTGCAAGAGGTTTGTGAGTATGTGGTGTGTATCAGATTATGGGCTAATCTCCATCCCATTCTAAATGTTGATGGGTATATTTTTTGGGGATGGTTTGGCATCCCAAGTTGCCCCATTATAATCTGTGGCAAAGCCTCTGGCAGAGAAAGCTCTGCACAGTTTCCTCCATTCCTTAAAAGTGAGTTATGCCTAGGGCTTAGCGAGTCGCGAGTGAGCAGAGAAATTTACCTCTCTTCAGTAAGAGCTGGGCCATCTGGAAATTCCATGGAGAAACTTAGTCTGCAGGAAAAAAGACCAGCATATGAATTTAACTGTGATGGCAGAATCACATACGTCGTGCCCCGCTTTATGATTACCCCATTTAAGATGAATCCGCTTGATGGTGAGTTTTTTGCTATAGTTTTTGCGATCGCAAAACAATGATTCCAATGGGCAAAAACCACTTTGCGATGATTGGTTCCCTGCTTCGGGAACTGATTTTCGCTTTACGACGATCAAAAACAGCTGATCGTTGGGTTTCAAAATGGCCGCCGGCTGAAGAAAATGGCCCCTGCTGTGCTTATGGACGGATTCCTTGCTGCACAGGCACCGAAAATGGCCGCCCCTATGGAGGATCTTCGCTGGATGGTGAGTTTTCAGCCCATTGGAACACATTGAAAGGTTTTCAGTGCATTTCAATGGGCTTTTTTATTTCGCTTTACGACCTTTTCGCTCTACAGCAATTTCGCTGGAAGGAATTAACGCTGTAAAGTGAGACACCACTGTATATCTGTGATGGCAGAATGTCCCGCCAGGGAGCACAGCATCTCCAATGGTCTAACCTAGGTGTAGCAGCTAGGCTAAAATGAGTCTTAAGGGGATTGTTTCCGCTCAATGTAAATAGCACCTTCAGAAGAGGAATTCTTCTCAGACACCACTGTATATCTGTGATGGCAGAATGTCCCGCCAGGGAGCACAGCATCTCCAATGGTCTAACCTAGGTGTAGCAGCTAGGCTAAAATGAGTCTTAAGGGGATTGTTTCCGCTCAATGTAAATAGCACCTTCAGAAGAGGAATTCTTCTCAGGACCACAGAACTGAAGGAAAAAAAATTAGATCCTTGGACATACAATGTATGTGATCCTAATAATTACCAGCTGCTGAATTCTCCCAGGTTGATGCTGGTTGGCTTTTAGAGATGATTTTTTTTGTGGTGGTGGGGAGAGATTAAAGGTGGCTGAGGGCAAGGAGCACTTAGATTGCAGCATGGGTCAGGCAGATAATACACCTTGCTCCTGGGTGACGTTTCCTTAAGGCAGTTATTCCCAGCCTTAGGTCCTCCAATGTTCTTAGACTACAACTCCCATAAATCCTGGCCAGCACTGCTAGCGATGAAAGCTTCTGTGAGTTTTAGTCCAAGAACATCTGAGACCCAAGGTTGGGAACCACTGCTTTAGGAACCCAGCAAATTCAGCTATAACTTTCTTCCTCTAAGATGGAAAATGCGGAACATTTTAAGAGCACTCACAGCAGGTTCTCTTTACATGAGAATTCAGCTTGTAAACCAAGATTTTAAAAACCCACCAGGTAAAACACTACATGGATGAAGGGGTACATAAAGAAGCAAACAGCAATTGCCACAGGGGTTTCCCCCCCACGACAACTTGTAAATGCATTTATTTCACCACAGGCAGGCAAACTTTGCAACACTGATAAGTAAGTCTTGCCTTTATTGTCCTTCTTTCGATGGACTTTTGTCCTTCTAAGAAAACTTATTATAAGTGCCTTGATTTAATTAAACGTTTATTCACTGCATTAAAAACAGACACACATGGTTTTTAAAATGTTGCAAAACTGCTCTAGGGGTGGAGGAGTGAGTATCATTGCCACAATTTAATCAGTTTTAAGCACAGCCCGGTTTTGCTATAAATAAAAAGAATTAGGATTCTCCACAGTCCAGCTCTGGAAGATATAGCTAGTCTGACCAAACTATAGTGGATGTGCTTTCAATTGGCAGTAACTGCTGATTAAATATAAAACCAAAGACAGTTACATATTGAGTATAAATGTATAATCAGCAGTTTTTCCCCATACCAAAAAGGTGTATTGGTTTGACATAGGCAACTCCATAAATGCTGTCCAAATTCTTTTTTAAGAGCATGTATCCTTTTACTCAGACATATGTGTTTATAAATAAGCAGAAGCCATAAATCAATTATAGATTATATGCTTTGAATAGAGATGTTCCCAAGTCAAATCCCCAATATCTCCAGATAGATCTGGGGAAGACTTCAGTCTGAAAATCTGGAAGCCTTTAACCCATGCCCCCCCCTCCATATAGTAATAACATTTTATAACTGTTGCATAGCTCTTCGGCAGACAGGAATGACAGAAGGATGTGTTGGTGATGTCACATGTGCTTGCCAAGAGATCCTGAACACAGCCCACATTTTCCCAGTTCAACCTAGAAAATTCACTCCCATTGATTCCCAGGAATTCAAGTTTCCTGCTGTCTCTTTGGGTAAGTGGTCACACAGGGAGAGAGAGGAACACCTTGTTTGCAGCTCTGCTAAAGCTCTGACTCCTTCAGAGTTAAAAAGGAACTGCTTAAGAAGCTATAAAGAAGGGCTTCTTCCAATACATTCCTATGTCATTCCTGTTTGCAATAAGCTATTTAAAGAGAGAGAGAGAGATGCTTTGTTTGTTTTAGTTGTTTAAAAGAAAAAAAAATCCCCAAAAGGCTTTGCTTACTATTCCCTGAGTGTGAACTAGCATGGTCGCTTTTCTACATTGGTATAAGTGATCACATGTCTGAACCAACGTGAACTGACCTGTTTTTTAAAAAGTAGAAGCCCCAGCTGTGGAGGGGAAAAACTACAGATTTGAGGGGGGAAGCTCTGTGTTGCTTTGCATTTCCTTTTGGATCATATGGTCAATGGAAATATGATGCAAATCAGCTTGCCTTAACCCCTTAACCCCACATTTCCCCACCCAGTTAAATTGCACCCTTAGTTTATGGGAATCACTACTTAGGTATCAATCCAGTATTCACATACTCAAGAATCTGGAGGGTTTGCTCATCTACTCACCCTTCTGAATGGGAGGTGGCTGCTTCCCCTTTGCTATGTCGCTCTGTGCTAAAACATCAACCATCCAAGAAAGGGCACTGGTGCAGTACTCCATCTAATGGAAGTGGGTAGGGGAGACATAAAGCACAGAAGCTATCTTAGGGTGGGAGGACATATTTGGAAGACTTTCATATTCTTTTAACATGAATTTGAATTCCCTTCCCCCATCCCCATTTCTCCTCCTGTCCTTTATAGCAATTAGTCAACTTGGTTGATGCTCCTCCCCTTCTGGTTGCTGCCATTTTAAATGTCTTTTGCATCCTATCATCTCCAAAAGGCTCCTGGCCTCCTTCCCATCCCAAAAAGTTCCCAGTCTTCCTTCATACCTGTGTCTCAAGCGTCCGCATCATCTCCAAAAGGCTTCTGGCCTCCTTCTCATCCCAAAAAGTTCCCAGTCTTCCTTCCTTCATACCTGTGTCTCAAGCGTCCTCAGACGTCGCTCTGACTCCTTGATCTCGGAAAGCTGCTTCAAAACCTGATCAACCCTGAAGGGTTAGAGATACGAGGTAGTTATAAGTGGGACGTTGTCCACCCTTCTTTGTGCCTCTCGAGAGGCCCTCTTTATATCCTCTCTGATGGCCCCCTAGATCCCAAGCTCATGTTCTTAGAAAGGCTATCATAATAATTCTGGACATGACTGTCCCACCACAAATTCCAAATATTGGGAATCCATAGAGAAGTGCTCTTGGTGGGAGCACCTTTCCTCTGGAGGCCAACCAGGGACCTTTCCTGAGCATATTTCAGAAGCTGTAGGAAGTGGACCCTTTTGCCTGATGAGGCATGTGTGCAGCAGTGTTCGTAAGAATGATGTTTTTGATTAACTACATTGAGTTGGATCCAGACTTAACCATACTGTACTTAGAGTAGACTCATTGAAACCAAACAGACTTAAGCTAGTCATTGCTAGGTTAAGTTCCATATATTTCAATAAGTCTACTCTTAAGTATGACTACGTCCATATTTTGTACCTATTATCTTGACCTCCCCATTTACTATTTATGGGCAACATGTGGTTCTCTAGGTGTTGCTGAATTATAGCTCTCAGCATACCTGACCATTGTCTACATTGACTACACTGGTGGATATTGAAGTCCAAAAATACCCAGAGAACCATGGGTTTCCTGCTACATCGGAGAAAATATAAACACCAGGCTGTACTCACTGCTCCCTCTTTTCTGTAGACGTATTTTTATCCATAGTGCAGAGGGAAAACTGCCTGTTAAATTCCTCTGATTCTGTGGTGCATTTTTGCATCACTTTTTGTCAAGTGATATGCCTGGTGCCCCTTACTGCACTATTTTTCTATCCCAGCGAGGAATGCCTAAGAAATGTGAGCTCTACAGATACCCCCTGAACCCATGCACACATTGGGATGTTACTCTTCTTTGGGCTTTATGCTCTTTTGAATGTTGTGATGCAGTTTGTGGATAAAACCCTATCAAAGTGCATCTTGCATGATAACATGAATTTAAGAATGTACACTTGGAGATAAAAAGTTCACAGATGCATGTGTTGTGAGAAAAAAAAACTGAAATAGGTATTTGATTTTGCAAAAATCATGTGGATTTCTTTTTTATAGGTTGAAGATGAATGCAGAAACAGGGCAGTACAAGCTGAAGATGTTCATAAGGGACACAGACTAGAAATATATCTACTATTAGTTTCATTTTATGTACCCCCTTCTCTTTAGATTGTTTCATACACTACCCCTTCCTCACTTTTGGGAAGTTCGCCGAAGCCGTTCCGTGTCTTCATCACGTTTTTGCCGGGCCTGAGATACCAAGTAATTTTCTTTCTGCACTGACTCCCAAGTAAGCAACCGCGCATCCTGAGCCTCGGAGAGTTCCAGTACTGCCTCAAACACAATTAGAGGAGAGAACAAGAAAAACCTTATGAGAAAGATGTAAATTAGGAATGAAACTTTAAAACATTCTTAGACTAGTATGATTTACCAAATGAAGCTGGGCAATTGCGCTAGCAGGATCTTCCCTTTTCAGAGGTACTTGTGCGACTGGTTGCACAACCGGTGTGCAACCAGATGTATTGTGCGATTGGTTGCACAACCGGTGTGCAACCAGATGTGTCACAGACCAAATGAAGAAACTGTTTGTATGATTGTCATTCCACTTGTTGCAAATAGAGCAGGATACTGGCCTTTCTGTTGCCCTGTCTAGATGTGTTGGACAACTACAACTCCCATCAATTCCATAAGTCTTTAAAACAACTAAGACAGTAATGCTGCACCTGCCTACTTGGGAACAAGCCTTGTGGACCCTTGACCAAACTAGATGAACCAACAGCTTCACAATTGAAAGCAGGGTGGCCTTGAGAAGTGAAGCATGTTGGATTATTCTCCAGTGGGGCTTCACAACTCTGCAAGTTTCAGATTAACTTGTCATTGGTTTGAGCACCAAAAGTTAAAGAGCAGCCTTTGTTTGCAGCTTTGAAGACGGTCTCTCTCTTCTAATTCCAAAGCAGCCCCCTCTTGCAGTTCAGTCCTTAGTGGGGCTTAGGTTTGTGAGACTGTTCTTTAAGCAACACAGGCCTTTTAGCAAGGACCACGTGGATGATATGATCTTCTGTGGGATGGCAGGAAAAAGTAGAAACAAGTGGCTGGTACAGAAGGAAGAGTAGCTGCAACCCATCAATTCCAAGCCATCATTTTCCTTCCCCGTCCACTACAGTACTCACAGAAATGGCGTCCCTTTGATGACTGCACCTTGCGGATGTGGCGCTTGAAGAAAAGGTGGAGGTGGCTGATCAGGATGAAGGGTGGGGCCAGTGCTGGGCGGCTGTGATACTCCAAGATCAGGTTGTAGCGTTGGGATTTCCAGTAAATGTCACTGTTGCCTTGCACTTTGGAGAATGTGTAACTGTCAGATGGGGTAAAGTAGAAATATCTTAGGCAATAGTAGGCTACACACAGATTTACAACAAGACAGAAGCAAATGTGAGGTTTGATTTGGTATTTTTCTCCTTCAGGACTAGTTTTGTTTCTTGTTCCCTGCCTTTTGCTTTGTAAAGGACACATATCCTAGTTCCGTACCGGATGCCCTTCGTCCAAACTAAATGCTGATTGAACATTTATGTGCAGTAAGAGCTACTCATTTTGTTTATGAATTTTTGGTGCAGAACTTTTAAAGAACAGGATAGTTACACTGCTACATCCTTACTGTCTGGTTTACTCCTGCTTATTCTGCTGTTTTAAAAAGAAGAATTGGTCCCTCTTGCAGTGTATTGATTCTGCTAGATTTTCACACACTATCATTCTGGAAGGCTTCTCCTCTCACTGTAGACTTAAACGATACATTTGCATCCCCCCCCCCGTGAGTTTGGAATCTTTTGGATATTCATACACAGTGAAGACTGGTCACTCTGATGTCAGTGGGGCAATGAATTCGCTCTTAGATTTAGTCCAAATTTGAAAGCTATCCATGATGCTGGGACCAGCCTCCAAAATGGCAAGTCTGAACAGACAGCACTGAGAACAGAGCTTGAGAAAGTTGCTGGCTGGAGGATTCTTAGAAAAGTAATTTTTCCAGGCTTTATTGGGCCAGATGGGCCAGTGATTTAACTCAGTGTAAGGTAGCCTTCTATGTTTCTTGCTCACGCACGTCCCATGTACCTGAACACCAGTGGCACACCTGAGTCATTTAAAAGACTTGTTGGCTAACTCTGCCCACATTTCTTCACAACGGAGGCAGGAATCTGTGAGAGGGTTACCTGAACATGGCGATGAGTAAATTGAGGAGCAGAATGTTTGCTACTAGTAGGAAGATCACAAGGAGGATGAGTACCAGCCAGTTGGCATAGGTATTGGTGCAAGGCTTTGCATCATCCATCATGATAGCAAGGGGGTCATAGGTGCAGTTCGATGCCGCGATTAAGGCAGCTGGGGGCAGACAGAAAAACAGGGTGAAGATTTGTGCTATTCATTGTTTTACTAACCCCTGTTACTCCCTCTTTCTATTCATATATATATATATGCCCTTTTCTAACCTCATACCCATTATGAATATTATGTGCCATTAAATCAATGCTGACTTATGGCAAATCTTCCAGGGTTTTCTAGGTAGAGTCCACTCAGAAGACTGTGCAGCTTGTTCAAGGCTGCGTAGGCTAGCTTTTCTCTTGGAAAACAGTGAGAATCAAACTCCCAGACTCTGGCTCTTCAGCCAGATACCTGTCTCACTAGGCCATTCAGCCAGCACTAGTAGCTATAGACAACTGCATTCCAAGTACTGTAGATGAATGAGTAGTCTGGAGGAAGATGGAATTATGTGAAATCTCTGGGTAATGAACAGGAAGAGACCCCATCCCCTTCGAAGAAAAAAAAAACTATTTCCACTGACATATTTTTAAAAAAATCCCCATTTCCCCTCTCATTTCCCCTCTTCAGAATAAAGGAGGGGTGCTTTGTCATTTCTCTGCACCCAGAATTAGAGATGGGTTGGTTTCCCTGCTGACCAGCTGATCTGCGCTTCAATGCTCTGTCCCCTCCAGTGGGTCCCTACTCGGAGGCAGCGCACAGAGGAGGCAGGGCAGAGTGCTGCTGCAGAATGGGGGTCTGCTGGAGGGGGCAGGGCACTGAACTGCAGATCAACTGATCAACCAGGAAACGAACCCGCACCAAACTGACGAACCAGCGATTTATGCTCATCTCTACCCAGAATAGAAACCAAATGAACTACAAGAAAAGCACCCTCCTTCTGTCCAGAATGGAAATGCAGCTTTCTGTGCACCCTCTGCGAATGAATCCTCCAGAGACTAGTAACAATTTTTTTTGCAGACTAGTAACTTTTGAGTGGTATTCTGTGCACCCTCTGTGAATGATCCTCCAGAGACTAGTAACAATTTTTTGCAGACTAGTAACTTTTGAGTGGTTATGTACAAGGTTGCATTATTCCTTTGAGCAACGGTATAGCCGAAAGTGATTCAGCCTGGATGCCAGTCCCCTACCCCCTTCATGACCCACCATCAATCTCATCCAGTGGGATCTGTCCAAAGATTTGCAAGTAAGGACGGTAGAAGACACGGCGGAATATCCAGGGGAGGCGTCGGTCATGTGGAAGTAGCAGCCCCTCTGTGGTGACCCCGTAGGCCACCAACCACACCCCAAGAAAGAAGAGGAACAGGAAGACGTCTTTCATCTGTAAAAAGTTGAACAAGAGAGCAAAGGTGACTAGTTTTTTTTAATTAGAATGAAAATTTATATCCCTGATGTCCTTCATGTATGTTAATGAATTCACCTAATTTGAAACAATTTTAATTTCTCATTCAAATTATGCAACACATTCATGGTTGCATTCACATACAACAGGGAGCCAGAATGCCGAAGAATTGTGGCTTGTCAGGGCCGAGCGTGCACAGTGTACCTAATCTGTTCACTCTTGCTTCGCTTTGCTCCAGTATTGTGACTACTAAGCAAACCCAGGAACGTTTTACCATGTCACTTGAACCAGCATCCCGGCTTGTAACTCTTGAGAAGTCAAAATTACACACCGTGGTTTGTTCTTCCTACATGACTCTTGGTTTGTTTTGGAGCAACAAACCTAGAGCCCCAGTCTGGACAGTGTGCTAAACGCACTATCCCATACACCAGCACACGGCTTTTTCAGAATAGGCCAGGCTCCTGTGTAAATTTTTTTGGCATAATTTATAAGCACAGGCTGCAAATCAAAGAAAACTATTTTCCTCAGGCGTTGAGCTGAATGAAAAAAAGGGAACGCAAAGGGAACACATTTTTTCAACACATAGTAACAAAAACAAATAATAATAAACCATGGCCATAATAACAGTACAGTGGTGCCTTGGTAGACAGTTACTCCCCCATGACAGTTTTTTCGCTGGACATTGACTTTTTGCGATTGCTATAGCAATTCGCAAAACAGTATTCCTATGGGGGAATTTGCTGGACAATGTTTGGTCCCTGTTTTGCAAACCAATTTTCGCTAGACGACGGTTCGCTTTTTGCTAGACAATGATTTCGCTAGACACCTATTTCAATGGAACAGATTATCATCGTCTAGCGAGGCACCACTGTAATAACAAATACAACAAGTCCTGAAAGGAACCTGTGGTACAAAGTCTCTTACGCATCCATCCATACTTATCGTTCACATTCTCACTCCTTGCAATTTTGTTGTACACAGTTCAACAGTTTCACCCAGAGACCTTTGCTTGTTCGTTACACAAACACATCTGCAGTTTGACCTAAAATCCTTAAGTCAGCCCTTGGACATTTTTGAATCAAAGATTTCTTGTATTCACTCCAGAATACAATTACTCACCATCCTGCCGACAATAATCATCTTGGGCCCCAGCTGTTTGTTGACAGCAAAGATGTGGATGAGACGAAGGGTGAAGACCATAAAATCGAGGCAGAGGATAGTGCGCCCAGATTCATACGAGTGTGGGAACAGCCTGTGAGATTGTATAGTGACGCAAGACACCAAAAAAGGAAGTCATTTTTTTCTGTGTACTGCATTATTTACCTGCAGACATACTATCCCTTTTCATTTTTTCCAGAGGTATTCATCCATGACTTTATAATCACGTTCAAAAGGCTTCTTAAGTAGGTTTAATACTGAAGTGTACAGAATGACACTTTGCAGAGTTATTTCCCTAATAGTCAGTAGGTGGCACTACTAAAAAAGGTCCACTCCACACTTGTTTTGAATGGCAAATCTTTTACCAGTTAAGTATTTTTGTTGCCTGAACTTTTGCTGGACTCTACTACTGTACTTGATACCTCAATTGCAGGATTTAATCATTAAAATTTAGGTAGGTAGGTAGGTAGGTAGGTAGGTAGGTAGGTAGGTAGGTAGGTAGGTAGGTAGGTAGGTAGGTAGGTAGGTAGGTAGGTAGGAAGGAAGGAAGGAAGGAAGGAAGGAAGGAAGGAAGGAAGGAAGGAAACAGGCATGTAAGGGGGGGATGCTAAACTACCTCAGCTTTCCTGCAGATATGCTAGTCTATCTTCAAAGAATTTTTGCCTGCTGGGATAACCTTTAAACCTCTGATCCACCCTCTACAGTCGGATATGTGTCAGTCTTTTATTTATGTAGTTTGTGATGGATAACCTAGGATCACAGGCGGCCCTCCACCTGATTTCACATGGCCCTTAGCCAAATCTCCAAAAGCCTTTTGCAAGTGATGAGTTCAGACCTCTGCAAATGTAATCTGTCCCTTCCCTAGCAGTCAGCTAGATGTGGAGTAAGAGCGGAAAGAATGAGCTTGCTTCTTTTAGCCTTATATCTGATGGGCTTCCACGTCCGCCACCCCTGGCACATGGTCCCTCCAGACTAACCCTGAGAGAATACACCCCTCAGCTTTATAAAAGATTGCCCGCCCTCCGCCTGTTTCACAGAAAGAAGGACTACAGCCAGTGGTCAGATGCAGAAGAAGGTGGATGGGCATGACCTTCCTATAGCCGAGTCTTTGCTCCTGCATCCAATCCAGGAAGAGGCACTCACCTGCACACCAGTCCTATCATGAAGAGCAGCAGGGCAGTGATGTCCAGCTGGTTCCAAGTGTCCTGGAAGTACAGGCGTACCCGCTGCAGCAGAGGTTGGGAACCCACAAAGCAGCCCTGGCGCACCTCCTCGCAGACCAGGGTGAAGACCCAGATGTACAAAGCAATTTCCGTGCCAGACGGTCCTTTGGGAGGCGGGGGGTCAAAGTCCAGAAGCAAGACGTAGGAGAAGAGGAAAAGGAAGAGCAGGTACATCACCACGTTGCCCAGGAATGCCGTCACTGGAGCCACCCAGAACTGGTGCCATCGTCGTAACCAGAACCAGCGAGTGGAACGTGGGGAGCGAGGTTCCACATTGCTGGGGCAGCAGAGGAGAGAGAAAGGGTGTGAGGGATATGCGTCTTTCCCAGTTAAAGAAATCTTAATTGACTTGATTGCTCAATGTGACTCGATTGATTAGATCTGTGTGACTATGCACCCAAACAACAAGTAATTCTGAAACAAGAAGCATAGCATCTTCTTTTTTTTAAGATGATGCACACATGGATCAGACATAATCTTGTAACAGATTGGGAAGAATTCTGGATTGCACAATGTATCTAGTTTTATCCTAGAACCTTGGGATCCAATGACTAGATTTGGGTACAGATATTGTCATTGTGTGATGCACTATCACATAGGTCTATATCACTATCAAGAGTACAGTATTTCTATGGTAAAAAAAAGTTCCAGTGGTCTAAATGGAAGGATTGACAAATGCAGAATGAATGACAAGAGGGTACTCATTTGCATATAGATAGGGATTGGCTGAAAGAATGAAAGAGGAAGATATTTAGAATACAGGGGTAGGAGGAAGAGTAAAAGAAGCAGATAGAGGCAGGGTGGTGAAACAATAAATAAAGAGATATTGACTACCCTTAGGGAGGACAATGAAAAAAATACAATTGAAAGAAACTGTGTTATATGAGTTGAGGGAGAAGATTATTGTGAGTGATAAAAGTGGATGTGAGGAATAACGTGTGATTTTTATTTAGTGATATCCCCTTCCAGAAATGCCCACACCACCTTTCCCAAAGCATGACCCTTCCCCTTACTCAGACAACATGTCTCCGATGGTACTTTTCACATCTGTGTCAAGGCTGTCCAGCTCGTGGGGGCCTGAAGAATCCAACCGGAGATCATCATCCATCGTCCTGTCAAAGAATCAGACACACTCATGTTTTGAGCAAAATGCTTGCACATCCTAATTCTCTTCATATTCCTAAAGAGAAACACTGAGGGCAGAAACATAGGTGATACATAGCCCATCCTTACAATTAAAAACCCATTAGTATTGGAGATGGGATTTGTGCTTGAGAAACCAATCTTCAAAGGCATCTTGCATGGAAGTCCTGAAAACCAACCTCAAAATAAAGCAAACTAATTTACAGATTGTGAAGTAAGAAAAGCCGTTGCTGTATGCTCAGATGATTCTAGCAGTTAAGGAATTTCTTTTTCCAATGATATCTTATCTATAACATCTGTTTCTGTCCTAAATGCTCAGGCCACAGTTATTCAATATCCTCCTTCCACAAGCCATAGCCTTACAGATATATTGGGCTTTAAAGATGTGAAAACTTCTTTCTGCCAATTCTGGTGTGTTTCTATGAATTTTTGTCCTGTCCTTTTTTCATATTGGGTCATGACTGGGGATTGTAAGGAAATCTGTGCATGTTTTGGTACACAGTTTTCTTAATATTATACATTTTTCTTAATGCATGCATTTTCCCTGTTGTCTATTCATGTTTATCTGCTGTTTGTGGTTCTTCCCAGTGATGGGAAAGGAAACAAACCTACACACTTTTACTGTGTGTAGATTATGAAATCTACAGTATAAATATGTTGAAAATATCAGTTAATACCATTTTCTTTTCCATTCCTAGCTGGGCTTCAGTCACCTCCATCCCCGGCAAGTGTGGCCAAAAGCCAAGTTCAGCAGGGATGAGGGAAGATGTATATTTGCAGCTCAACATATCTGGAAGGCAAACAGGTTGAGGAAAGCCATGATGGAGTTTCCAAAGCAGCAGCAGCAGCAGATCTGGGGATGAAAATTTTAGATTTGAACCCATCTCTCTGCTGTGTTCCGGCAGGTGTAGAACCAGAAGGTTCCCTGGCACTGCAGCTCCTGCACTGGAAAGGAACAGGCCAACAAAAGCTGGCATTGCTGAACAAAGAGCACTCTGCGCATCACGATGTACCACCAAGCCAATTCTCAATAATGGCAACCCTCCTGGGTTTTCTAAGTATCAAATACTCAGAAGTGGTTGACCAGTCCCTTCTTCTGGTGGTATTTAGGACACAGTAGTAGCTCCTAAACAGGGAAGCTGCTTAGATGCCAGTATGTCCTCTCCACCCATGTGTTGTAGCTAGATTGTGAGGAAGCAAGCCACGGGCCAAGAGCACTTACCGGAAAGTGATGAGGCTGGTAAAAATGAGAGGAGGGCAGAAGAAAGTAAGAAGGAGCTGCCAGACAGGGGTGGATCTGTCCATCTCTCCCCACCAGTTTTGAGTGAGTAGGGACTGTGGGGAAAAATACTGGAGACAATCAATACAGGGCAAGGTTGAAACATTTTTTCAATCCCCCCTCTCTCTTCTTCGCACTCATTTCCATATATAAAGCACAGTATATGAAGCAAGCTATTCCCACCTAAGCTACATTCCTTAGTTTGCATACAAGTATATGAGATAAGGTACACAGGGGTTTAGCCTGCAATCTGGCCCCCTTTTGTAACAGGCTCTAAGACTGTAGCTCTTAGCATGCTTATGTAAGTTCCAGAGAACACAGTGGTGCTCACTGGGGAACAGAGATGTATAGGATTAGCTAGCCATGTGCACTGCAGCTTTTCCTGTCATATTATTGCTGCTGCTCAATCATGCTTACTTCCTAGCTCTTCACCAGACTGACAATGGGTTCAAAATAGAATTTGTAGTATTGTAGACATCCAAGCTGGTAATCACAAACACTCTTTTC